CTGTGTTTGAAATATCAAGTTGTATATAAGGGCAAATTGATGCTGAAAGGCAGTTATTAACGCCAGTAACGAGAGAAGAACTCCCAAAACTACGCTTTGTCATTGTCGCCCGCCATCTTGTTTTGCAACTGTGCTGAACACAAATCTTGCATGTAAACCACATGAAAAGTTGATCCCAGGAGCCGCATTTTTGCATGTAAACCAAATGATCCTTCTAGGATGATCCTAGCACTAGGATCATCCTCTTTCCATGTAAACAGGCCCATAGTTTCTGGCATGTAACTCCAGTTTTTGTCAGTAGCATGAAGCAGCTAGGAGTATTGCCACAAAAAACTTACCACTACCTATAGTTTTTACATGTACTCTTAGGTGAGGAGAGGCACCGTAAAACTCCAGTGTCTTGCCCAATACAACACAACGAACACATTCAGGACTCAACCCTGGATGGCTCACTCCAGGTTCAAACAATTATTGTTTCCATTCTGGTGAACCTGGCATTTACATATACCATATTAAATATTTTTTAACATTTTGCCAACTTGTTTTCATTGGTTCACAGGAAACTATTATTTAATTTTAAAATTGATCCAAACAAGGCATTAAAACAAGGGTACTACTTACTATTTGAATTACTTGTACTTCCATGTGAAATTCGATACGAATAAGATAGAGAATCACTCTGCAAAAGAGTATATATTTAAGTTTATTGCAAATTATGTATTATTAACCTCACAGTATTGCAAAGCCTTCTCAAAGCAACAGCCCGACAATTAAGGTTCTTTCCATTATATAATAAATTGTTTGAAATTCCTGTCCTCTTTAATTGATTCTAACTATAAATCGCTATTAAATGAAGCTCAGTGTATAACAATATTCAAGTTAAAATTGGACTCTAAATTAAAGGACAATGTACATGTAATCCTCATGACGCTATGGTGACAAAATCTGAACACTACGAAACATCTCCACTTACCAGGATGCCTGATCGCCTTCCTTCTGGAGTTGGAATTCTATTTTCCATTGCACGAATCCGTCTAAATCCCCCACTTCCTGACGTTAAATCTAGTGGATACCTCACATCAGAAGAATCTTCTGGAATTCTCGATCGCCGTAAACTGGCACTTCCTGATGAATAATCTAAACTAGTAACCCCATGAGAAGGGCTTGAAGTTCTTGTTTCCTTGTGATGACTCACAGGTTTTGATATACTTCCCAAGGGTTTAATTTCTTTAGAGTCTTTAACAAGCTCTGATATTGTTTTCCTTCCTTCTTTCATTGCACTCCTTGCGAGTGTTCGACTTGAAGGAACAATTTTTGCCTCTTGGCTAGATTGCACTAAAAAGTCTGATACATCAATTTGGTTAGTTTTCCTCCTTGTGTTAACAGGTGGCAATGGTCCTTTAGGTGTTACCCTGTTTGTTGCACTTGACTGTTTAGAAGGTGAACCGTGAACAGCTCCTGCTTTTGGTTGATGTCTGCTTGAAGAATGTTGATCAACAACTCGGAATGCAGTGTCATGAGCTTTTGATGTTGCTGTTGCAGAGGTCAACTGCAACCTAACAGAGAAATAATGTTAAAAGTTAATTTCAAACAATGTAAAGAAAGAAGACATTTGAAACAGATTTCAGAATGAAGGAATAGTAATCTGTTTCAATGAATCCTTCTTTCAATACTTTGGTACACACTTGCAAACAGCAGAAGCACATGTTAGCAAGCAAGGCTGGACCAGGAAGGGATCTGAGAGGAAATGTAACAGGGTTTTCATACAGTCAAATAGTGTTTGTTGTGCAAGGTATCTCTTAAAACAGACACAAATTCTGACACCCTTTTTAGCCTTTACAGTTTCAACATCAAAATGTCAATTCTCCTTACTGATTTTAACCATACGTTTCTTTCAGTTTAGTTCTGAGAATTTGTTAGTACATCAAGCAAATACCGTAAGTTGAAGATTTTCTTGGATATTCTTGTCTGCTTTACAATATAGTAAAATTGTAAGATTAGATGGGAACTTGAGCCTTGACTAACAAATTATTTAATATTGATTTTACCTTCTCCTTGCACTGAGTATTGAACTGCTGGTGGGTTTCTCAGTAGATGGAGGTGCTGGTTGATGTTTAGGCTGAAAAAGTAATATACAGTAACAAAACATTATCCACTGTTTATTATATAGACACAAGTGTTTTACTGGAAAATACGCCCCTTGTAAAATTCATATGAAACTACACCCAGCACCCGAGTGGCTTATGTTACATATCCTCACTAGTAAGGATATACACTTGTTCATAAATATTGTTTTTATCACTTGTGGTATCCTCAATATATCTCACCATTTATCTAGTACCAAAAACAAAATTTAATTCTGCTACGTATACAAAAATTAATTAGTGTAAAGACATACTCTATTACTTACTGGGTTGAACATAACATGTGGTTAGTAAGGGGATACTACATGTAGTTCAGGTTTGGAACATTATTTAACTGAAGAAGCTAGTCATAAAAGGGGATAAGTGACGATTTTGGTTGCTTTTCTTTTTTCTTGCTCCAAATNTATCCCCTTTTATGACTAGCTTCTTCAACTGGTATATTATCAATACCTTGAGGCTTTTCTGTGATTCCATTCTATTCTTAAGAAGTCTCACTTTGTTCATTGTCACACTGTTTTCCTTGATGGCTTCCTGAAAATTAATTGACAAATACCAATGTTCAGAGCAGGGTTTATAAAGAGAAACACCTTGATGCCTGCAGAAATTTCAGTACAGAGTTAATCAAACCTGTGATATTGGAGGTGGATTTTCGTCCTCTTCTTCATCATACAAATTGTACATTGAAGCACCACTAAAAGTAATGAAAGGAACCAAATCAAATTAAAATAAGCACTGCTGTGTAATCAATCTTGAGAAGGAAATAATTTCTACATGTTCTAAAACCAATGACAAGAGCTGTTACTTAAAAATGCATAATCTACCTGTATGCGATAATGATACAGTTGTCAGCCTGCAGTGTGTATTAAGTGCTGGATGAAAAGTTGAATATCATAATCTGTGTATGTTTGGTTATCAGTGACAAGAAACATAATTTTTTTTACACACAGTCCACATGACACTTAAAATGTTTTAGCGAGATAGATCATTACCTCAAGGAGTCTGAGAGTGGGGTCAAAGTACCATCGCCTCTATCCACAACTCGAAAGAAATTCAACTGGTCTCCATCCCTGGAGGGAAAAAATGTACATCAATAGTTCAGCATCAGTGCACAACAGATGACTTTGGATCACAGGAGCCTGACAGCTCACCAGTCCCTTGCATGGGATTATGCTCTGATGTTGCTGCAATTTGCTGATACTCATTTACGCTGCAAAAGGTACTGCAAAGGGAAAATACTTTGCTCGCCGATGCAACAAAAGGAAGTGGTGATTCTATAATATAATTACCTGAAAACAAGTAAGGTTACTTGGCGGTTATCCTTAGGGAGTTTGTCCCAGATTTCTTCCCTGTAAATCAAAAGAATGTTGCTGTCAATAGAACTTATAACTACCTAATTTGACCCATAAGTAAATTTTAACTGTAGAAATATTTAAACAATTTTTCCAAACTTTGTTCAAATTCTAAGGTATAGAGAAGCGAGTCTAACTTATTCTAGGTTTGCTACATGTAATCTGGAGCAACAAAGAAAGTTCTCCATTTCTGTGCATACCTGTTGACCTCCATGTATTCAGCCATTTCTCTTAGAGTAGGATCTTCAACAGGTACTACAAGGAAAAAATTACAAAGCAACATAATTCAGAAAAATAATCATGAGAGCTAAACACTAAAACCCAGATAACAAACAGGTAGGACATAAAGTATTCTTGTAAAGTACAGTGCAGCTCAGATATATCCAAACCAAAATATATGCGTAACTCGCATCAGCCCAATACGCATATACGCGTATGGATATACGCACATACGTGTATGCATATACGCACATATGCGTATACAGTATATACGCGTATGCCTGATTAGTATGTATGAGCTAACCTATTGTTTTGTCTTTTCTTAACAAGTCATTGTTGTTTTCAATGGCTTGACTGCTTGCCACAGAGGGAGAAAGAGTTTTCTTTATTTTGAATACGCATATACTGTATACACGCGTATGCCTTCAGACTAGAGTTATTAGAAAAATGTTGGCTGAAACTAACATTTTGCAATTGGGCACTTGACAGAAAATTAACTGACTGAATATAATTAAAAGAGAGAGTATTTTGCCGTTAAATCAAAAATTTACCTCTTTTTTTTTGTCAAATAGAACCTACACGCTTCAACAATCCCATCTTCATGGAGCAAACACAACCGAATGAACTTTTTTTCGACACAAAGTAAACACTTTTCCTTGAAGAAAAAATAACTAAACGTGAGCGGCGCACCATAGAAACTCTAATAAACAATTTTTTCGTCAAGGAAAGATTATTTTACCATTTGAATGAATGATCTGTGTCAAATATAACCGGAGATATCATTTTTTCGACGAGGATCTTCAGAAAGCTTAATTCAGACAAACATTTTGCAAACGACTTGCCCACACGTGCCGAAACACAGATCTTATCTTGTAAAAACATTAAGTTCACGTGTTAAAATAGGAAGTTCAAGCGACAGTTTCAATTTTCTTCCCATTTTTGGTAGCTTAAGATCAAGCAAGTGTTAATAAACGGTAGTTTGTCAGTGAATTTGCGAAGTGAATCGAAAACTTGAAATATGATAGCTTTCATTGATTGGCAGGACGTTTTAACAACATGCAAATTTCGCTTTGAAACCTTTTTCATTCCCAGAAATGTAATGTCCTTTGTTTAACAAACACTGCTTCACATAAAGAAACTTGTGGGAATGCATAACAAAGAGACATATATGCGCGTATATACGCGCATATGTGCGCGTATATACGTGTATATGTGTGTGTATTAACATACGCGTATACGCAAAATACACTCGTATAATACGCGTATACGTAGTTCGCATATATCTGAGCTGCACTGTACATACAGGTCCAACCTAGTATAACATTCTTAGTCATATAAAACTAATTGGAATCAATTGTTAGTAATCCTAAAGGAGATATTTTGAATTGATCACACAAATTTGGGTAAAAGGTGCGATTGTCAACAAACTCTTAGCAAAATTCATGAGTATTTCTAAAAGTCAAAAGAAACAGAGAAAAAAAATTATGTTTCTTCTAGAAAACATTGTGAGGGAAAAAAAGAGGGACAAGACTCATTTTAGCCATGTGTATCTAGATGTAAATTCTCTTTGCTGGCTCCATCTTTACATAAACAGCTCATGCTAGCCCTGTGTTTCTATTAACAATAAGTTATAGAAGTACAGCTTTAGCACATGCTTTCTTAGAGGGTGTTTTCTAAAGAGAAACATTATAACAAATGCAGATATCACAATCACATTGTATATATGGGATACTGACCAAGTGTGAGGTCAAGATGGCTGGATATTGGTCAAGTTCTTTTTTTGCGAGTTTATGAACCGAGACGGAGTTGAGGTCCATAAACTCGCAAAANGCAGGATTTGATTAATCTTGCCCGCTCGCAGAGCTAGCTATATAATAAACAGTTGTTAATACTACTCACTTCTTCTGGTATTGATAGGACCTCCTCTCATAGCCAGGACTAGTTGCAATGTTGCCCCATCAGTGATGCTGCAATGTAACGTAATTTAGAGTGATCAACAAGTATATTGGGCAGTGGAAAAGTAATCTATAAGACTAAGTATTTTACTGGTGTCAGAAGTCCCAAGATAATTTTGAGCATTACTATTAAGTCGTCAACAGTAGCCAAGGTCAAACAGATTGTCTTGTAGCTTGGTAAAGCCAGCACCAGCAACAACGTGATAACCAACGTCCTATCAAAAATCTCTCAAATTCCCTTTTTCAGATAAAATCTACTTACTTGTAATCATGAAGACAATAGTCATCTTCCAATTCTACAGATCGCCATATCAAATGTTGCTGAGACATTGGGATGCCTGTAAATTAAACAAAAATTCTACATTCAACCAACAAATACATTCAAAGTTCTCCAAACAGGAGTTGAAGCTATGTCGTTTCTGTATGCTGGTTTGTCACTCTTTCTCTAAGACATGACAAGTACCGTACAACCAGGCTTTTAGCCAGATGGGTGTCCAGGCGTCCTGTGGAGGACCACTTTTTCAAGAAAACTGTTCAATTTTTCATATGTTGCCTTATAAATTTTTTTTATTTGAGCAGGCCTTATGGCACATTTTGGACACCCACTTTTCGAATCCTGGCTAAAAGCCTGCATAGAACCCAGTTAATATGGATATGCCCATAAGGCAAGGTTAACATTGTATTAGAGTATGTCACTTGAGCCACAGAAAAGTGTCCATCATCCATATCAACTTGGGTCCATGTTTTAAGCAGGCTAAAGCAAGAGAAAACATGATTGAGTTTTTAGTTGTAATAGGCTGATGTCCAAAGCGCGGAGTTCCATGGTAAAAACACAAACGTGCTGGCTAGTGATACAGAATACATGGCGTGGCCTGTGAATTGCGTGCCCAAAAAAGGAAGGACACAAACAATAATGTGAAGTGACTCTGGCTCTCAAAGCCAAGTGACATTTTTGTGTCACAGATGGCAACTGCATTGCCAACTTTCCATCAAAAACTTCAAGCTTTACAATGTCACGTAAATGCTAAAATTAGAGCTTTGCAACTCAGTCCTCCATAGGAAAAAAAGATGGCGGCTTTAAATGTTACCTGACACAACAAAAGCCATATTAATTTTTACCACACATGTCTCTGTACTAACGACATTGTGCATGTTTCAAAATATAAGAATTTTTTTGTAAGTCTTATATGAACATTGCTAAAGTTTTCGTGTGCTAAGAATTCCTTTTTCTTACTGAGAATTGTGTGAGTGAAGGCACACCAAAAACCAGAACAACAACTTTCAGTTGCTTTCTGTGGTTCACTGTCTAAACTACTACAAAATGCAGATATGCCATCATGTTACCAACTTTATGTTAAAATTTTTTCAAAGTGCCAACTTTAATAGTCAATTTTAAAACAGAACAATGATCAGCATTATCCAATGTTCAAGAGACATAATGAGTCAATGCCTTGGATATGATTGTTGACAAATGTCAGTGACCAGATTAAAACTTATCTGATGAAAAGTCTGAATAAGATAAAATGCAGGACAGTGACGCCACAAAGTTCAAGTTCAATTGGCCGTACATGTAAAAAAATAAGCTCATATATAATCCAGAAACAATTACACCTTTTTTAATCTACACCATGATTCAAAACAGGTCGGAATAAACGTATATGATAACAAACGTGATACAAAAAAGCAAATAAGACGATGGCCTGTTTTTGAGATCTATCGAAATCTGGAGTACAGTACAGTTACACAACACTTCGTTCATGCGAGGAAATGCCTACAATAGTTTCCTTTGAGCCAAAACTGTAGCTGACGTATCTTTTTAATAGAGATTTAAGGTTAAAGAAAAATCAGCCTGAATAACACAGGAAGTTTCATTGTACCAAAATATAACTTCCAAGCCTGTCAAGCTTTATAAAGATTTGCCGACTCATTTATTAAGCTAAAATCAAACACAATTCCAGATATTATCGATTAAAAAAACAGACGCAATATACCAAGCAGTCCACGTTGTTTCATTTTATCACCAACTCTGGGAAAATTTCGATTTCTATATGAGAAGAATAACGCATTTTCCAAACGAGAATTATCCTTCCAAATTGGGCCCACTAGGCGAGTGTTTACAATAGGAACACCACCACACATTTTAAATTATTTATAGTTGATGTGAGGGCAAACCTTCTCGAAAACACGTACATGTAAAAGGAACTTTTTTACATCGTAACAAGTACGACCTATACACACTTAGGCAACGATGAGTCAAAAACTCTTTGATTTTTTCACCGAATCGTTCCTGTTCCCCCGCACAAATTTAACTTGCGATTAAGTTTACCTTCAAGACGCTGAATCTTAGCTTTGACGCTCATGATGGTTTCAAAAGGGCTAACTCGCAGTTCAAAGGCTGTTCCAGTTAATGTCTCAATAAACAGGTCCATCTATGGACCTTTCCAACGCAGTTCTTGCACTCGAAGTTAGTCCTTCGCCACCAAAGCCTTCTCAAACCATCTTTTAATGTCCGCCGTCTGTAAGCGACTTCTTGTAAACATCTTCAGCTTTAAATCAATTCCTCGGCAACAGAAACAAATGTAAGACACCACATCGACAATAACCGAACAGATGTAACAGTATTGAAGAAAATCGTGGAAATATTTTAGCCTTCAACATCCTTCGAACAAAACATTTAGGAACGTGTCGGCCCTACTGCATTTCTTCTTTGTTCCCAGGGTTCCCGGATGAAATAAAGGTTGTCATGGAAACTCCCGCAAAACTTATTTTAGTGTGTAAACAAAGGCTAACAAACGCGAAGTGACTTCACCAATCATATTATCGTGTTAAGCGTCTTTTTAATTGGTTTTTCAGCCCATTTACGTAGGACTTATGAAAGAGCACTTGAAAAAACAGTTGCCTTTCAAAAGAAGACAATAATCTGGTGTCGAATAATTGAACAAGGTTAACATAAATCTACCTTCGTCAAATTGTCCGATCATCTTCAATGTCTTTGGCTGTTCGCATGCCGTTCTGGTTTTAACGCTTCCGACATATATCATTTTTTTCATTAAAGGTTTTTTTTTCTGGGATTTGAGAGTGCGAGATTATTTCGTTATCAGTGAGCACAAATTTCCTTCGTGGAGCCCGGATTAACCGAAAATTAAAGTTCTGAAATTAAATATCACCATGACACCTTGATTGTTTTGATTCCATATTTTCAGTTCGCCCACCCATGGAGGAAATTTTAGCGGGTACTAATTGGTGATTAGAGTTGTTACAGAGAGAGTGTGTAATTTTCCCATCTTTTTACGGAAATGCGAGACTATGGAGATTTTGGAGGTTATATTTTCAGGGATCTGGTTCTCTTCGAAAAGTATACTTTTCTAGGGATGCCATTGCTTCTTTCGCACACGGGTTCGTTCGTGGAACAAGACCGACAAGAAAATGGCTAGACTATGAGTAGTCCCTCTCTCGCTAAGTCCGTCGAGCATGATCGTAAGTAAAGGATCTGTATATATACACGTCAAGCTGGAAGAAGAATAGGTCTCGCGAAATCCTCGCGCGGCGATTTTGTTCTCGCAGTTCTCTTACACGTCACGCACGACGGACCATAGTTAGCAGAGGGGACTAATTATGGACGGACCAAGCGAAAGAGCTAGGGACTACTCGTAGCCAGCTGGTAAGGAATTCAATGCGGGAGAGAGGAGTCTGAGTATCCCAAAACCCGTTTAGTCTTTGCCAAAATATCCGATCTCGTACGCCGTTGATTCCAATTTCAAAAATTATTTAAATTAATTAATTAAATATCCCATATTCCATCAATTCCCACCCCCGGCATATCCTGTATCCCATCACTTTTTTCCCTAAATATCCCTATGCCGCCTCTCAAAGGGCCTTATAGCGGGAACTGAGTGTGGAAAGAGCCCTCTGTCCGAAAAAAATGAAAAGAACAGCCCAACAAATCAAAGTTCCTTTTATTCTATTACACTCTCTTTTTCATAAAAAGTACCTTTTTCCGGAGATCTTGGTTCAATTCTTAGATTAATTAAAAACTGAAAAATTTCAAATATTCCGCGTCGAAATCTCACGCAAAGGACAGGAAACCGGGTGGTTTTCTCGGAAATGTAAACAACAATATCTCTCTATAAAAAATGTCCAGAATCTTTACGTGAGTAAAAGGTTGCCAATCGATTTTTTTTTACCATCCATAGCCCTTTTACGAATCCCTATTTTCTCTCTTGTATTTCCCTATCATTTCTAACCTTTTTTTGAGCGAACGATGTTGCAGTTGTCAGGCGTCGTTTTTCAAAGAAACTGAACGTGAGACACATGCTTAAGGTTGCTATCGTCTTCCTTAGTTTTATCCTGCGCCTCAGGCGATTTAGCTTCCCTCCACGATTTTACAATCTTTTCAATTGCACCAGGCGTCCATGAATGCGACAGTGGAGAAGACTCTATCTTGCTCAATAATTTTGACCGTGACAATTTTCTTGGGCGTTGTAAGGAGGGTCTGCTTCCTTTAGCTGAATCTGTACTATCTTTCCGCACTCCTGTTTTGGTGGCGGAATTTAATTCTAAAACTGTACAGTTTAGTTTTTCTGCGTCTCCTTCAGACGATGAAGACGCTAATCGCAATCTGCTTGACCTTTCCGAATCTGAATCCGACGTTCTCCCATCAGGTTCTTCCTGACTTACAGAAGTCCCTAGACTAGCGACGCTTCTTCTCCCAGATTTTCTTGCCTCTGATCCCGAATCTTCGTTACTTTTTCCGGTGTGTGACGATGAATTTCCTTGTCTGCGTGATTTAGAAGAGTCTGATTCGTATTCTCGCCCATCCGAATCCTCTTGGCTTCTATCAACGCTTGATTGGGAATCGGATCTTTCGAACGAAGCTCCCGATTTGTCTGAAACAAGAAAGTAACAATGAAAACAAGTTTTCGAAGCGGAAGTTTGCGTGACCTTTTCAATCCTCCTCGCGATCGAAGGAGACATAAACGTCACGTAAACCTCCATGTCCTTGGCTAACCTGAACTGCTTTAGAATTTCGCTTACAAACTCTGGGCTTTCACAAGTAGGGGAGGAGGGGAAAGTGGGGGGTGAGAGAGGGATATACCAAGCGGGCTCATAAAACCGGGGAGCTTGTAAGCGGACTTCTATGGCCTTCAGACCAGTTAAACAAGAGTTCTGTAAGTACCAATAAACAGTGCAAGAGATTGTCATCAAATTAGGTGATCTAGAATGTGTATTCACGCTTTGGTATATAGTGCCATAGCAAATAGAACGAGTGATAAACGCAAGTGCAAGGGGATTACCAAGCACCAAAAGTGTTATGAAAAGCCACGTAATTTCAAACTTGTCTTAACAGAAAAGTGATAAAGTGCACGACGAAATGATTTAAGTGGCTACGTTATTCCCTAGAATGGCACAGTGCGACACTGAGGTCACGCAACGCTCAAAAAGATGTGTCACGATACGAAAACTCCCTGCGATGGTACTGTCAAACAATGCTAACCCCTTTGGAAAAAAAACATTGCGTGACAGTCAAGTGAGAGAGCACTACGTCTGTGTGTGAGATGGATGAGGCGGTGACTGATGTAAAGTGCAGTGAAGACCACCTTTCGGCAGATGCTCGGTGCTGGCGTGAGGTGATAGGACGGGTGATGAATATAACGAGCTAAGACCTTTCTGAGCCATGGTGATGTTCTGCTCCGCTTTCTGGATGTATTTGCTCAGCTGAATGTGACTCTGAAAACAGGACGCAATATGAATATATCTCGTTACATGTTCAAAGATGAATGTGAGGTGCGTGGTGACCGTGCCCTTTCCAGTTACAGTGCAAGTGATATATCTAAAGTGCTTTTCAATAATGCTGTGGTGGTGATGTGCCTCGTCCTTGAGCTCTAATTGCTGCAACAAGCAAAACCAAGAGTAGGGATCGAGTGAAAAGCTCTTGAAATCAGGAGCTGGGGATGAGGCACTTTACCATTACATAAATACCTCGCGGCCCCCGTCCCTCCCATTCAATTTTACAATGAGGGAACTGGGGCAGAGGCAGCCAGGTAGGTGCAATTGGTGACTTAAAATATTGTAAGAAAACATACATTACAGACACAATAATAGACCAAAAAGAAACAAGGACGGCTAAGACTTTGGAAGACTGAGACAAATTACGAATGACTAACTTGAATAAATTCATTCTCGTCCCCAGAGGCCGCGCTCCTTTTGGTCAGCACCAAGAATCGCGACCTCTGGCCGGGTCCGATTTTCTGAACTTGCGCGGAGAATTCGTTTCGTACTCTCAGCCAATCCGATTTGTCAAACTTGACTCCGAGTATGCGTAGAGCAACAGAAGTCCGTGAATCGCGGACTTCCTGTGTTGGACCTTCCCATGCAGAGGTCGCGATTCTTGGTGCTGACCAAAAGGAGCGCGGCCTCTGGGAACGAGAATGGCGAAATCCGCCGCCATCCTTAGTTATCCTTGGCACAGCTCCTTTAAAGGTCTTTAGAGGACTCTTTCCGTGCTAATATAACCTCACAGATTTTAAAGACTTCTGAATTCATCTTATTATATCCTATTCTTTTTTCCATGGATTCCGGAAGAATTTCAAGCCGTTTTACAGAGTAAGGGACCTGGCTTCTATTATGTATGCTTCTATTATGCTGCCGTGTT